CAAACTTTAACAAGGCTCTTTTGTAAATCTAATATAGCAAAGTCCAGGTCACTCTCTTGGATTTTTATTTGTAACATCTCTCTTAATTATGAAGGCATTAGCCAGTTTCTTTTGTATGTACAATGTAACATCTTTTTCTGTGTCATTCTTGTAGCCAATCATTTTTAAATCCAATTTCAAATCTGTCTCAATCTTTTCAGGTAATACTTACTCCTCTTACATAGCATCTTTTGTCTACCTATAGAAGCAGACATGCTAAAATTAATTTCTGGGTCGAAATTCTGGGTCTTGCTCAAACATATCCTTGTCCAATGTTAAAATATTTTGCTACATTTTGCATTAATACACCGAGTTCGAGTTCTCTTCTCCTTTAATTGTAACTTTTAATTGTAACTGTTAAAACTTTTAACTTTAATTGTAACTAGTTCCCCTTAGTGTCCATTTTTAAAAGTGTTTATTTTTTAAGAATTCAAAGCAAAAGTATTTTTCCCACAGGAAGGATTCTTTATAATTAAAAAAAAATGTATTTCAAATTTATCTGGACCATTAGTCCCTTTGTAACTTTCTAAAACTAAAGTTTTAATCACCCATTTGCTATTTATTCCAGAAAAAAAACTTAAGACCTTAAACTTGTATTTAAAACTCATTTCACAAAGGATTGAAAGAAACTCCTCCAGTGCTATAAAACTTGCTGATCCAAAGATTCCTAATAGCCGAAACCACTTAAAAACAATTTCTGAAAGTAGTTAGAAAAGGAAAGAACTCCAGTGTCCTTTTAAAGGTCCCAACTGTAGTTTAAGCAAGATGATTATCCCTTCACCTTCCGGGAGTTCTAAACCTGCAGACCTGCCTTGAAGCAGCAATTGTCTGGAGAAGTATTTGTGGGTAATCTCAGAACAGCTCCTTGTCTAGAGAGAAATTATGAAGAGCTGGTCCACTCGTTGGCTCTTCATTTCATTACAGTCTTTGGTTCTGTTTATCATGGAGCTATCTTCAGTTTGCCGTTTCTTCCCCAGAAGTGACCATTCCTGCCATGCACCTGTTTTATAAAATGCTGGACAAACAATTGGAGCATTTTCTGCCCACTTAACATTTCTGAATTAGAAACTATAGGTAGTCCTTGACTTATGACAATTGAGCCCAAAATTTACGTGGCTAAGTGAGACATTTTTAAAGTGAGCTTTCTTGCCACAGTTGATAAGTGAATCATTGCAGTTGTTAAGTTAATATGGTTGTTAAGTGAACTCTGTTCCCCACTGACTGCTTGTCAGAACATCACAATGCCCCAGGGATACCACAAATGTCAAAAATATGAGTCAGTTGCCAAATGTTATAATTTTGATCATATCACCACGGGAATGCCGCAATGATTATAAATGTTAAAAATGGTTGTAAGTCACTTTCTTCAGTGCCATTGTAACTTCAAACGGACACTAAATGAGCTGTTGTCAATCAAGAACAACCTGTATCTGCATACTCCGAAAGAAAATATCCACAAGCTGAGGACAGATATAAATCAACCTCAAGAAATGTTCCACGCAAAGGAAAGGAGGTTAATGCTCAAAGTTGGTTCAAAACTGGCACTGAACCACAGTTGGGTGCTACAGGAACAAAATTAAATATGTTTAAATAGAGTACACAATTAGCAACAGTGTGTAGCAAGCCATACCATATTTGTTACATTCCAAGTGGCAAGCCATGACTCTTGCGTGTACTGTTGTAGCTTGTAAGGTGTAGTTTACCCATTCATATGTAACAGCAGAGTATGACCTGAGCAAACCAGGAACTAATTAAATCTGTCCCTCCCAAAAGGGAAAGAGATTCTTCCTATAAGGCTAAGTCACTGTCTGAGATTATACACAAGTGGTTGTAGCAATGCTACAGAGCGGCTCAGTTTTAGATAGGAATTAGGATGGGCTCAATTAAGTCACACAAGTTATGCTGGTTAAACCTTACAAATATTTGAAATGAACAGCTATACTATCACAATGATTACACTGTGAGCATCAGAAGACACAATTCCCTATCGTTCCTCCAAAGAACTAAAAAAAAAACCCTTCTTTTTCTGTGCTCTGCAGTAATAATATTAACATTGAGCACCCTGGATCCTTTCCTCATACCTCCTATTTTCTTGCATACTCTAATGCTCCATAAAACGAATGCCTGTCTAATCAGCATTTCTCTGTATGGAATTTTCAGGTGCATTTTAAAGCAGAAGGTTATCTGTTATTATGTATAATAACAGGCAAGAATGAGACTTTCCATAACTCTTTCTCTCTCTCTCAGTTTAACATGACAGCAGGCTGCCTACAGATGAAAAACAACTTTATCTCTGTCCAAACCCCAGCAGATATAACTCACTTGGTCCATCATTTTACACAAACCTAACTGGAAATAAAGTTCTGCTGACTGTAAGGAAAATTCTGCTTGGAAATAAACAAATATGCACAAGAAGTTAATCACTCTCCTTTTTTTCTGCTTTCCCTCTGAATCTCACTCTCCCTCCCCCCCCTCCTGTAATGTCTCACACCAATATTGGGTTTTGGAAGACTGCCAGCTATGTTGTCATATGTACTCAGATTAGGAAATCTCAGATTAGGAAAGAGAGTTCCAGAATGGACTCTCTACTCTACCTTAACTGGCTGAGTGGGATCCATCACTAGAGTCTTTGTTTTTTGGTGGGTATTTGTCATGAAAACATGACCTAGTGAGATCACGTACATATCATCTTGAGCTCCTCTGAGAAAAAAATGGAACCAGGATCCTTCTTTAAAAAGTTCCATTCAAAGATCCTTGAGAAGTTTCCCCACCCCACCACCTCTTTTATTTACAAAACTCTGAAGCATTACAACAATAGGCTTAATATAGACAGCAATAGGCTGGTAGATCAGGACAATTTGCAATAGATTTGAAACAATTTCTAACTCCATATTGTTTAGTAGCAGTATCATCAACAACTTCTTCTACCTACCTAATCTTGAATTAAATTGTCAAAGCAAAGATAACTGAATAACAAACTGCGTGTGGGAACAAAACCCTTAGATGAGCTTTGATCCTGAAAGCATATTTCTGAATTGACTATGCCCTGAAATATCCTTTCCTTATTCTTAATTCCAAGTGGAAAGGGGCTTCTATTGTTCTACTATTTTCCCTATAGATAAGATTCCAGTATTTCCCCCCAAAACAAAGTAAATCTGTAAGCATGTCTGCCCACTGTTGATGAGCAGACAGCTCTATAAAAAGGCAGAATGATCTGAACAGAATTGGATTCCCATTGTCAATTGATCACCCCAAAAGAGAGAGAAAGCACTCTTATGCCTGATAAGATATATACATATATACTTTATATATTGCCAAAAAGAAAATAAAGTTTGAATATAAAACCACCCACTAGAGGTATACACATTGCGGTCATTTGCTGTAAATTCAGTAAGTAGAAATTACAGGCTGCAACACATGAGAAACCTGTATTCTAACAAAACTGCCTCATTCTACACCACCATTCAATCCTTGTTCTCCTCTGCATCCTAGCCATCTCCTCCTCAACTTCTTTCTACATTATGATCAAGAGCAATCAGTTTCAGCCTTCAGACCTTTTTTTGTTTTTGTTTCTTGTTTTTTTTCACTCCTATGGTCTTTCCACTTTTGCTATGAATTGATTAAACATTGTCTTGGATTCTTTAACAGTTGAGTTGCTAGCCAACTCTTTGGGGGCTTAAAACAATGCATTCCCACCCCAATCTGTAATGCATAAGGAATGTTTATTGCACTAAATGAAGTGGTGGCAGGGCTGGTGAACTGTGGGATTCATCAGGAAGTAAACCAGATACTCAAGATGAGAATAAACCCTGAAATGAGAGGTATTTGCTTATTCTGCAGATGCATTCTGCTTTTCCCCAGATGATACGCTGCAGCATCCAACCAATTGCAGGCATCAGCCCCTGAGGATTCAAGTCCCCAGAGAGAATCCAGTGCTACAGACCGATGCAGTCGAGTTCTCTTGCGCTGCAGTGTCCGCAAAGCACACTGGGCAGTAACTCGGATTGTCCAAAAAATCTTTTAAAACTGCTTTTTCTTCATTTGTATTTGTAGGCTGTGCTGTAAGTCTATGGGAATAGGCAGCTCTTATCATCTTCAGCATCTTGTCTGAAGGATACCTCTCTTACATCCAAGCCCAGCTGACTTATCACAGGGGAGGCAAATGGCTTTCTCTATGAAACCCAAAGCATGGAGTGCGAAGACATATCAGGTAGGAAAAACCACTGCTTTCTCTTCAACAGGGAGAGACTCCCATGCAGCGGGATTTTCTGCTAGGACAGCAGCTGCTCTCCAAACCCTCTCCAGCAGTTTAACATTTCAAGCACATTTTGAGATTTAAACAAAACAAAACAACAACAAAAAAAAGCCAAGGGAAGTGGTGACTCTCAACGGAGTCACTTAGAAATGCTGGATGGTCAATAGAGTCCTGCCTTTGTAAAATCAATACTGAAAAAAAAAAGAAAAGAAATGGGAGAAGGGAAAAAGAAAAAATAAAATAAAACAAAACACACCAGGCAGCAGTAAGAACTTCCTGCTTGGCTCGTTAGGAAGTTGCAGCACAGGCGAAATGCTCCCATTACAGCATTCACGGTGGAGAAATCTAGCCGAGAAAGGAAAGGGACCACACAGAAGTTGCAAAAGGGTGGGAGAGGGAGATCCTTGAGCGGGCCTTTGCTCCAAGCTGGTGCCCTTCCAGATGCGCTGGACTGCAATTCCACCATCCTCAGTCAGGATAGCCACCGGGCAGGCTCTTGGCCAGTTTAGGCTCCCCCGGTCCCCCCCCCCCCCCCCCCCCCCCCCCCCCCCCCCCACTCCCAGCCTCCCCATCGCCCATAAGGAGAGAAGAATCCTTGTCTACGAGCTCCGAGGGGGTCGCTTTTGCATTTGAAAAACCAGGAACGGGCCAGATCCTGGCCATCTGCACCCTGCCCACCCGCGACCCCGGACTTCCCCAGACTCACATAATGCTTGTTGGGGATTCGCCTCTTCTGCACGTCCAGCACCTTCACCTCCACGATACTCTTCCGGGGCATAGCGTTGGTCGTGTGTGCAATGCGAACCCCAGAAGCAAAGCAGAAAACGGGGCAAACCTCGGGCTGAAAGGCAGGGAGGGAAATCGGGGTGGGGTGGGGGAGACAGAGAGAGAGAGAGAGAGGGAGAGAGAGAGAGAGGCGGGCGAAAGAGCCCCCTTCTTCGGGAGGGTGGTGGAATCACGGCTGCTACAGAAACGTACAGTACAAACTTTTAGGCGCAGCTGGCGGGCAACTTGGATAGGCAGGAGTGAGCCCCACCACCCTCGGCGTCTGCTTCCTCTTCCTCCTCCTCCCCCTCTCGCTCTACCTCCTCCAGTCTGCCTCTGTCCAGAGTTTGCAGATGCGGGAGGGGACTCCTCCCCGGCCAGGGCCGCTCAGACAATGTGGTTGTGTGCTCCAATCCACCAGGGCTCTTAAAGGCACACGAGCCCCGCCGGAGAAGGGAAGCCGGCTAAACCCAACGGCAAGGCAAGGCAAGGCAAGAGGCAAGGCAAGGCAAGGCAAATCAATTGCAAAGCAACAAGAAAAGCCGCCGGGATTTCTCTCCTTCCTCTCCCCAGCCCCCCGGCCCCATCTCTCTGCGCGCCTCTTCGAGCGAAGCAGAAGAGGAAGAATGAGAGCGCTGGGGAAGTTGCAGGACTCGGGCAGAGTGATATATGGGGAGAGTGGGTCTTTTCAGACCTTCTTCCATGGTTAGGTTTTAACCTCCGCTTGACCTCCTCCGCCTTTTCCCCCCCTCCCTAAGTGAACGAAGGAACAGAGATGGATTAAGCAGCAGTTTTGTCTCAAATCCAATATCGCGCCTTACCTCCCACGGGGGAAAACACGCATAAAAGGTTGGAATCCGAAACGACCGACCACTCAGTCAACTAAGCTCACGAATCTGCTGCAAAAAGAGAGGCCACGCGAGTGATTTCTGAGCTGGGATATCAGCGAAATATCTATAGTGTCCCACGGTGACTCTCAAGACACTCTGAGCGAACAGCATAGACATTTTAAAACAAAGTGGTTGCCATTATAAAAACGTCAATATATTAGGGATAAATTAAGATCTCTATCCTTTTCGACATTACTTTTTTTTAAAATTAATGCCCCCAAAACAAAAGTGCAGAGCAATGGCATGGAACAACCTTTTCGGACCCAGGCAGTAAACCAAGTTCACTGAAGATCCATATTCCAGAAAATTTGCAGCTCCAGTATAGTCCAATGTTTATGGCATCAATCTTACTTCAAAAAGATTCTCTTTCTTGTTTTGACAAAGGCAAAAATATACATGCATATATGCAGAATTGATGGGAGTGGCACACCCTTGATGCTAAAAACGACCTCTACAATATTGTGGTGTGTGTGTGTGTTTGTTAGTTTGTGTGTATTACATGGGATTTTAAAATGTGATCTATTGTATGCTGCCCTACTATCCACATTGATTAGTTGGGTGACCTTCTATGTCTTATAAATACATAATATTAAAAATGGCTTTACTTGTGCACATCTTCAGATGCTTAAAGTTAAGACACTGCTAATCTACTGTGTTCAGTAGAAGGTATTGCATGTCAATCAAGTACAAGGATGTTTTAAGCACTCCTCTTTGGTTGGAAATATATTCCAATTTTCCATTTATGGAGTTTGTAACTGGGGCACCTCTGCTAATAGCATCTCAGAGTGAAGTGATCTAATCACTTTCTCTAATTTTTGTTTCACCATTTTAACCTTTGTTGACACCATTTATTCCTACTACTATCTTTGTCCCTTATCCAAACCTCAGTATTCCACAAAACTGAATTCTAAAGGATTTCTGGATATTTGTCCACCAAAATCTTCTTGAGAATCTGCAGAAGTGGGCATATTTAGATGAAATGAATATGAGAAAATTGAGTACTAGGTAGGTAGGGAGAGGCACTTTGGTCTACTGATTAAAAGCATCAGACTAGAAAGCAAGAGACCCGGAGGAGTTTTAAGTCCTGTCTTGGTCATTAAAGCCAATTGGATGACCTTGAGCCAGTCATTCTCTCTCAGCCAAACCCACCGCAAAGAGTTATTGTTATGGGGGAAATGGGAGGAAGAAAGTGTGTTAGATATGTTCCCCACCTTGAGTTATTTGTAAAAATAATAAGGGTGTGATAGAAGGAATTATTAATTATGAAATCTGGACACCTAAATGTAAAGAAGCATTTGCTTAGTTTATTTTTTAGATTGATTTATATGGCTGCCCTTCTTGCTGAATAGGACTCGAAGCAGCTAACAAAGATTAAAAAACAATACAATAAATAAGAAACAAACAATAATAAAAAAACATAATATAGCTGTAGGGAAACCATGCAGCTAACAAACATGGGCTCAATTCCATGGCCCCAGAACCCAGGGGAAGAGTTGCTCTGTGTTAGACTGAAAACTGCAGAAGGATGAGACTAATTGACAAATGCAGCATTTGTAATTATTCTGTTTTGTTAACTTTGAACAAGGTTCCACAACTTCTCAATACATTAGACTCTCTGGATTTACCTTCCAACTGGATGATTCCTTTTTTTAAATTTCAGCCTCCCTCCACTACAAAAAGACAGATTGACTACAGTAAGGCTCTGCATGGAATTTCTCAAATCTGTTCTGTAGAACAGTTAGTTAGTACGTTAGTTTTTTCAGCAGGGCTCAAATTGTCTTTTGGGACTTGATTACTTCACTATATGTGGGAGAAGGCTTCTGTCTGCCAGGCCATAGAAGGAAAATAACCCAAGATGAGGAATCTCAGCATATAAAAGCAGGAAAAAGCCTTCCTTATTCCTGTGGCCTAAAAATTGGCTAATATTCTTGAGAACATATGATGAAATCCCATTAGAGCCGCACTCTTTAACCAAGAGAGTTATTTATTGTCATGTATCGGAGTAGTTTGTGAGTCAGACCTCCCATTTTGTTTCATTCTGTTTAAAACCATGGGCCTTAGCAAGAGAAAACTAAGGAAGTTGCTATGCCAAACCAAATTCATGTTCATGTTGAGCATTTCCCCCATATTGATTGTGTTTTAGGCTTCTGCAAGGATATTCTTAATCGATCTCAAGGAGTGCGGCCTAGAGGCTTATCAAATGCATTGCCTCACTTAGAGTATTTCTTAGAATCCTTGCAGAGGAAGAAAAGACAGAGAACTTTGATCCTGCCTCTGATCACCCTCCCAAGGGTCTGGAGGCTTCCCCAGGGCCTCTGGGAGGGTGAGAACACGCTCCCGCGGGCCCACCGGAAGCCGGCAACAGCCCTGTTTCCAGACTTCCGGAAGTCTTGTTTTCCCCCCCTCCCACTGTCTCCACGCAGACCCTGCACTTACCCCCATCGAAAATGGGCCACATAGAGACTCCTGGGAGGAGCAGGGTGGGGTAGGTGGGGCCAGCTGGTCGGTTGAAATACCTATTTGGCAAACCAGATGTAACTTTAACATCCGGTTCACCCAAACTGGTCCGAACTGGTAGAATCCCACCCCTGCTCCTAGTACTGTTGAGTCAATGAAATATTGGAGGTAGGAAAAAAAAACTGCCATTATGGCAGTGGTTGGAACTGTGTAAATTACTTGCAAGCCATTTTTCTTTCATTTTGCTTGGTCCTAATAAAAATGCACAAGTTTGGTCCATTGCATAGACTAATGTATGATTGCTTTCTGTATTGGCTGTCAAGAGATGAAACTTTCTTCTTTCACATTCAATAATAGATAAACTGATTTTTTAAAACCATTATGCTGATTGAATAGCTTTTATTTATTTCTCAGTTTTTTTTCTTAAATTACTCTAAGTAAAATTTGCCATAATTTGTAAAATACAGTATATTCAATTCTATTTTAAAATGATTAATTCTCTTCAATAGAATACATTTGCCTATTTTACTAAGGGAGAATAGGCAGAGATAATCTGAATATCACCACTGACAATTTACACTGATAGGATTTTTTTGTGGTGTTTGCATTTCATTTTCAAACAATACTTTCTCGATTTTTGGTTGCTGCTTGGTTCATAAAATATCCTTAAGCAGATTGCAAAATAGAGACCCAAAACCGAAGCAAACCGCAGTTGAGATATCAAAGTCCTGCAATTCTTCTTTGTTTAGTTAGGCTACAGGGAATATGTTATCCCACAATCGAACAGTTCTTATATGTTAAGCCTCACTTTTGACACAGGCTGCATTCCAGGTAACTGCAACTGACAGTCTTATCTTCTCTAGCTAATAGCAGAGCCTTCTCTAGGTCTCTGGACATAGCACTATGATGGACCTTGTATTCCTCTGAGGCAGCATGAATGTTACAGATCTGATTAGTTTGGCAGAGCTCCTTCCACAAATTTCACATCACATCATAAATAAGAACATTTAGCTCTGGTTTTGGGCTCTGTTGTCTCATCTTCTCAGATTTAGAAAAGTGGATTTGATTTACCATTTTTGAGAGATTCAGAAGAGGAACAGGAATTATGGATAAACAAGGAAGTTGGATCGTAGCACGTAGACTTCATTTATGCAATTGCTGAGTTGCATTTTAAAATGAATTTAGATTTAGTGCTGGCATACCGCTGTCTTTCAAATTGATTGGTTTTTCTCACAAGCCCCCACCTATGGACATCCATTTAAGCATAGCATCCATTTAAAAGCAACAGAGGGGCTCGATACAAAATAACTTATGTTCTAATGTATGGGTGATTTCCCCTCTATTTATAAAGCTGATCTTTGTCAGCATTATAAGATTCCACATATACTTTAGAAGAACAGTGTGTCTGCTTTCTCTGTGGTCGCTTCTAAACATGATAATGTTCTTTGAAAATAACATGATCATATATAACAAGTATATTTGTGGAACTAAGAGCTATGAGATAGGTCAAGCCTTGAAAACACTATATCATTTAAAAAAAATCACTGCCATCATTCTTATTCCAGATACACAAAACCCAGTTGTTTAGATATGATGTGTTTAGGAAGGGAACTTTATTTTTCCTTTTAGAGTATGAATATCCAACTTTTGACTTGCCTTGAGTGAAGAGGAATTGTCTTGGGCCCTATATAAAATATATAATATAGTTGATATTATATAGTTAACATCATTACATATAATTAAAATCACATTATAATGTTGAAATATCACAATCTTATGGGGCTGCATTACTAGCTGTCCAGGATTACAAGTGACCCATGGGTCACAGGTTGGACATGCCTGTTTTAGAGCCTTCTTTGAACCAGCAAGATCTATAGGGGAGCTTCAAACTGGACATCATAGCACCGCAATGCCAGCCTCATCCCTTTGGCATGTGTGTTGATGTCACATGTA